AGTTTCGATGGACTGCTCCCAATAATTTGGGATCTTTTCTACATGTGTTTGATGGTTGTTTTTGTTTGGAATTGTCAAGGAGCTAAGAGCTCCAAGTTTCAAGTGACTTTCAGAAACTTTTGTCAATTGTATCGGCCGGATTTGGTAATGCTTGTTGAACCAAAAGTAAGTGGTGCAGTTGCTGATAAAGTGATTAGTGACCTTGATTATCAGTTCTCTACTAGATTTGAAGCTAGGGGTATGGCAGGTGGAATATGGGTACTTTGGAAAGAGGTGGACTTAGTGATTGAGGTCTTACAGAAACATGCTCAGTTTATTCATCTTCATGTTACCCAAGGTAACTCTGAGCCATGACTTTTTACTATAGTCTATGGGAGCCCGAGGGCAGACGAAATAAATCTATTATGGGAGGGTTTAAATAGAATTGGGTCTGCTGTATTCGAACCTTGGTTGGTATCTGGGGACTTCAATGACTTTCTCCATGCCTTAGATAAACATGGGGGTGCTCAAGTTAGGGGCTCTAAATGGATCAAATTTCGCAATTGGGTCTAGAACTGTTGCATGATGGATTTGGGATTTCAGGGGCCTCAATTTACTTGGGAAAGAGGGCGTTTGAGAGAATGTATTGATTGGGCTCTTTCGAACTCTCTTTGGCGTCTACGATTCCCTGAGGCTGTTGTCATTCATGTTGCTAAGATCAAGTCTGACCACAGGCTTCTTATTATTCGTTGTGATCCAAGTCAGGCAGTGGGGACTAATTGACCTCTTAGATGTCAAACGGCTTGGTTTTTGCATGACGGTTTCAAGGATTTTTTCCAGGAAGCTTGGAAACAGGAGGTGATTTGACCTGAAGCTGTCAATGATTTTGTGTTAAAAGTGAAAGTTTGGAATATGAATGTGTTTGGTAATATTTTTCAAAAAAAGAAACACTTGGAGACTCGTATTCGGGGTGCGCAGAGCACTTTGGAGGTTCGGGAGTCGGGGTTTTTGCGAAAGTTGGAGAGGGAACTAGTTTTGGAGTTGGAAAATGTTATGCACCAAGAAGAAGTTCTTTGGATGCAAAAGTCTCGCTGCCAGAAAATCCAACTAGGTGATCGGAATACCTCTTATTTTCATCGAAGTACTATTGTTCGACGGAGGAAAAATAAGATAGAAATGCTGCAGAATAAAGGAGGAGAATGGGTGATAGATCCGAGTACTTTACAGCAGCTAGCCCATGATTTTTTTGTGCAGTTGTATACGAGGGAGAGTGATGTGGTTCCGTTTTGTCCGATTAGAGGAAAATTTCCTGGTACTTTGTGGAATGTAACTGATTTGGATTTTCCTATTAGCAAAGGGGAGGTTCGGCTTGCTATTTTTGGTATGGGGACTCATAAAGCACCGGGTTGGGATGGAGTGCAAGCAGTTTTCTATCAGCGCAATTGGAAGTTGATGGGTGACTCTCTATTCCGCTTTGTTCGTGATGCATGGAGTGGAGCTCAAAGTTTGGTTCCTGTAAACTCTACTTTAATTGCTCTTATTCCTAAGGTACCAACACCAATCTCTATTGATCAGTTCCAGCCGATCAGTCTTTGCAACGTGACTTATAAAGTGGTTACGAAGGTCATAGTGAATAAACTAAAACAATTTCTTTTTGAATGGATACGGCCAAATCAAAGCAGCTTTGTTCTGGGAGGTAACATCTATAATAATATCATTATTGCTCAGGAGGTTATTCATACTATGAAGATGAGGAAGGGCAAAAAGGGTTTGATGGCTATTAAACTGGATTTGGAGAAAGCTTATGATCGGCTTAGATGGGATTCATTCAGGATACCTTGGGTGATATTGGTGTTCCTGTCCGTCTTGCCCAATTGATAATGAGATGTGTTACATCTTGTGATATGAGCGTGTTATGGAATAAGGACATGACAGACAAATTTCGACTGTCTAGGGGAATTCGTCAGGGTGACCCTTTATATCCATATTTGTTCGTTCTATGTGTGGAAAGATTGGGTCGTTTAATTAAAGCAAAGATTCAGGGGAAGGAGTGGAAATCAGTAGTGCTTGTGAAGAGTGGGCCCCAATTATCTCACCTTTTTTTTTCGTAGACGACATTTTTCTTTTTTCAGAAGCCACATTGGAGCAAGCCCGGGTGATTAAGGATTGCCTTTCCATTTTTTGTTCGTCTTCAGGATAACAGGTGAGTTCTAAGAAATCTAAGTTGTTTGTGTCTAAAAATGTTTCAGGAGGTCTAGCTAGAGCTATTAGTAATGAGCTTCAGTTTGGCCTCACTACAAATTTAGGAAAATATCTTGGTGTCCCGTTAGTTCATGCAAGAGTTACTAAAGCCACTTATGGAGAGATGGTTGATAGAGTTCACTCTAAACTTGCAACATGGAAGGCTGAGACCTTGTCGTAGTAGTTACGACTATGCCCAATTATGCCATGCAAACTATCAAACTTCCCTTGTCAATATGCTCAGAAATTGACAAGTGCAGTAGAAGTTTCTTGTGGGGATCTTCAACTAGCAAGAGGAAAATTCCCTTAGTTTCTTGGGATCATGTTTGTCAACCTAAAATTAATGGAGGTTTGGCAATCAGAAGAATGGAAGCCTTTAATGATGCTTTCTTAATGAAGCTTGTTTGGGCCATGTTGACGGCTTCTTCGGAGTTATGGGTGTAGGTACTAGTATCCAAATACTGTAGGAATACCAATGTCCTAAGGGAGGTTCCAAGAACTGCCAAGTTCTCGCATTTGTGGAAGGGGTGTTTGTAGTGTTTGGAGTAGAGTGCTTCAAGGGGTGAGATGGTGCCTAGGTGATGGCCGAACTACTAGTTTTTGGAGCGATTGGTGGGTGTCGGACGTGGGACCTCTAGACCATCATAGACTTTCAGAATTGGATAATGATAATGTTGAGATGAGAGTAGCTGACTTGGTGGGTGAAGATGGCTCATGGGATTGGCATTATATTGAGGGTTTTCTACCCCCTGAGGTATGCTCTCGGATAGCTTCTATCCCTCCTCCAATTTCTAGCTTAGGCCATGATCGGATTGTATGGGGAGAGAGTTTTGATGGTCTTTTCTCGGTTCGGTCAACGTATGAGGTTTAAGTGTCTCCTTATTTTCAGCCTAAAGATGATGGGTGGAGACTCGTATGGAAGTGGCAAGGTCCGAAGAGAGTGCGATTGTTCTTATGGCTTGCTTTCCATGGTAAATTGATGACAAACGAGGAAAGGGTGAGACGCCATCTAAGTGTGTCAACTGGGTGTTCTCATTGCATGTCCGTGACCGAGAATATATTGCATGTTCTTAGAGGTTGCGCCGTAGCTTCTAAGGTATGACGATCTTTGATTCCATTAGAACTGGAGCATGAATTTTTTAGCAGCCAGTTGCATGAATGACTGAGGAATAATCTGAGTTCTACATATGTGTTTCACAACCGGCCTTGGACTATAGTCTTTGGCATGTGTTGTTGGCTTTTGTGGCAATGGCGAAATAAATCTATTTTTGACAATGACTTTGTGAGGCCAGTTCGGCCAGAACAGGTGGTGTGGGAAAGAAGTGATGCAGTCCAGGTGGCTCGAGATATGGGGTTGCATAATAATGGAAGAGATAGAGAGAAGGTTTGGGCACAGGTTGCTTGGATTCCTCCCAAGAGTGGCTGGGTTAAATTGAATACATATGACTCTTTTTGGAAGCATACGGGTCACGCCGGGGTTGGTGGTCTAATTAGAGATGATACGGGTAAATGGCTCGGTGGTTTTGCTCGGAATATTGGCACTTGCACTGTTGTGTCTGCGGAATTATGGGCTGTTCTGGATAGTCTGCGGTTTGCTTGAGCGCTGGGATTTAAGCATATTGAGCTGGAGGTTGACTCCAAAATGGTAGTTGTTATTCTGCGCAATTAAGGGGAAAATGATCGTCGTTCTTTAGTCTTATAAATTCGAGCCTTACTAAGGCTTGAGTGACATGTTTAGATTCAGCATATTTATCGGGAAGCAAATGCTTGTGCAGACTGGTTAGTCAATTTGGCTCATCAGTTGACTTTGGAAAATACTGTTTTTCAGAGGCCTCATATAGGGATCCTTTCCTTGATTGATTTAGATGCCTATGGTGTCTGTTTTTATAGGTTGATTGTTAGTTAATTTTGGGCTTTTGCTCTCGTTGTAACCAAAAAAAAAAAATAAATATATATATATATATATATATATATATATATTTGTTTGAATTTCAAAATTTGTATTTGCATATATATAAAAGCGTACATTTAATGCACATTGATTCATGCGTTATATATATATATATATATACACACACACTTATATAAATACTTATGTATGTATGTATATATATACTTGTTGTTAAATCTCTTATCTAAATTTTGAATTATCTTTTAATGCACCTTGATTCATGCAATTTTTTTTAAAGTGATTTTATTTTTAAATTAATTTAATATTTGAATAGTGTAACAATAAAAGTGTAACAATAAAACAATAACAGTGTAACAAACTATTTACACAAAATATTGTACTATTACATTTTGTTAAACATATAGTTTCATATAATTTCATTCAAAATAATTCATCTTCATTTTGAACTTATTACCACATACACAAAATTACTTAACACTGTTTTTGTTACAGTGTATTTATTACACTGTCTTTGTTATACTGTTATTGTTACACTATTACATTATTCAGATATTAAATTTATTTAAAAATAAAACTATTTTTTCAAAAAAAAAAATGCTTGAATCAACGTGCATTAAAAATAATTTAAAATTTAAATAAGAGATTTAATAACAAGTATATATATATATTTATATACATACATACATATTTATATATATTAACAAATATACATGAATTAAAATATGTTAAATATTTATTTTTATGTATTAACAAATACATATATGAATCAGGTGTATTTACATCTTTATAGCTCTGTTCTGTATGTTTTTCTAAAATATTTTGTTTAATATACTTTTTACGACTGCGACATTTGAAACGATCCATCTCCATGGCAACTCCAATCGTGGCCAAAGCAGCAGAGAAGATCGGAGCCGCCGCCCGTCGGCAAGCCTTAGCCTTAACGGAGGCCGCGGCGTCTAGAATACGCCACCTCCTCCAGCATCGCCACCGCACTTATCTCAAACTAGGCGTCAAGGCTCGCGGATGCAACGGCTTGTCCTACACCCTCAATTACGCTGGTACGCCAGCACTCTGTCATCGTTATACGTTTCAATTCTATATTTATCGTTATAAATATGCGATGCATATGTGAATTTATAGAAAATCCAGTTAGTTTTCAAACATATTTGAGCTACTGCTATTTTATTGAAGCGTTGTGATTCACGTAACAATCCTGAAGATGAAAAAAAAAATGAATTGTAAAACCAGTTGTGTTTTTAGAGATGTGGCTGACCATTTAGTGAATGTTATGATTCATTTGCTATAAAGCTGATTTCTGATTAACATTGACTCTAAATCTGATTAGATGAAAAAGGGAAATTTGATGAGTTGGTTGAGGACAAGGGCGTGAAGATACTGATTGATCCAAAAGCCCTCATGCATGTGATTGGAACCGAGATGGATTTTGTAGATGACAAACTAAGGTGAAGGTTTCATTTCTTAATTGCTTTTCTGCTGCAATGCACCATTCCAAGTGTATGCATGGTTAGGTGGTAAATTAGGGCATTAAAATGGGATTTGTGTATTTGGATTTAACAAAGGATGGAAGCAGGTAGCTGACTATAGCACTTCCATTTGAAAAAATTAAAGATGTATTGATGCATTCGTGATTTTGTTAAATGATTACCTGTTTACCTGACTTGCCCAAACCCAAACTGATGACTGGATGTAATAATGATCCAAACCCTTTTTCATATTTGCTAGACATGATGTATTACTGGCCCATAGCTGTTATATTGAAGCATATTTTGGGTCATATTTTCGGTTTATAGCTGGTGTTGGTTATCATTGGGAGTAAAATAGTTTGTATTACATTCAGTTCCTATTAAATTTATGAGTGCGGTGTCTATGAATAGCCATGCAATCTTCCTTTATTTAATGGAGAACAAGTAATAGAGATTTTTTCCACCAATTATGCTGTTTTGGGATAGGACGGTGCAATTTTAACCCTTATTGTGATGCCTTGGGAATTTAGTTGCAATGCTTACTTTCTTCTTCTTTTTCCTCTTCCGCTTCTTCCTTCTCTCCTTTATGTTTACTTCTATCCTGAAAAAAATGTGATCAATCTTTGTTTTTCTCTTTTAGAACAATCCTAGACCATTTCTCCAAATGTTGCAACAAAGGAACACAAAATTTGCTAATTTTCTGTTCATAGGCACTGTTCAAAGCACCTCCCATTCCTTGCATTGTTTCGACCCTATCTTTATTGCTCTTATTACAAACCTTATAACCCACACCCCACCACCATTAAGCCAGAAAATCTAAAATAAACAGCCCCCCAATGACCCCTTTGACTGCTTAAGTTTGGTTAGTAAATTGTAGAAGAGTACTTCCTTGCACTTTTCATGCACGAACAGAGTCCTTTGGTTAAACATTTTTCAATACATTTTTGAAACTAGCAATGCACCACTTGCGTTTCACGTGAAGTTTTTAGATCTTAAAAGTATAATGCATATGTAACACTAAATTAAATATCATCATATTTGCAAAATCTATGTTTGTAACATCCATATGATGTAATCTTTTGGTACATTTGACATAAGCCCAAAGCATCAAGCATGGATGACTTTAATTTCTTTAACCTGCCAAACATATTCAAATCTTTAACCCTTACAACAACGAATACTCTTGATAAATCAACAAGGTCACTTAATTGATATTCTAAATTACTTTCCCCATTCCCGAAAAACAAAAACAAAAAGAAACTAAAGAAAGAAGCAAAGAATTAAATAAACCATTGTACTCTGAAATTATAGTCAAAAGTGTAGAAATGCAACAACAAAATGACACACAGCTTAATACCCGTTAATGGGGTTTGAAAGTTTAGTTATATTGTATAATGCAAATTCTTGATCTCGTGAATCCCATTAGTGGCGTCCTATAGAACAATTTCAAGAAATGCCTTGTAACTTCACTGGCTAATCAATGCATCGACTAAATTCCTCCTTAAGAGTACCAGACTGCGGATATACACAACAAACTTTATACAGTGAGGTGTGAAGGAAGCCACTAGATACATATGCCTCTCAATTTGGTTAATGCTTAAACAAATTGCAACGTAGTGGCCACTAACCACCCTATCCACAGAGAGAGAGAGAGAGAGAGAGAGAGAAGCATATGAAGATCTCTTCAAAGCATCATTTTCAGAATTTTAAGAGTCTAAAACATAAATAAGTTGCAGTAACTATTGGATCAAGGATAAAATTGATTTTATGGGGCGCAAATGGAATTCATAAGGTCTTTAACTAAAATCAGTAAGTTCCTTTCAAAGCAATATTTTCAGAATTTTAAGAGTCTATAACATAAATGAGTTGCCGTAAGTATATTAAATCAAGGATGAAATTGGTTTTATTGGGTAAATCAGGGTTAGAATTGAAAATCAAAAGTTTTTTCGCTTAAGATACTTTTATAAGTAGTATATATATATATATGATTTAAGTACAATTTTTATTTGAGTGATTTAGGATTTATACTCTTCAAATATGATTCATGTTTTAAATTGGTTCTTGAAATTGAATTGGAACAATCAAGTCCTCAATGTCTTAATTGATTTCATACCGTAGTAATGTTTTCCAATTTTTTATTTTTGGTATTTCAAATTTAAAATAATTTTTTTGTTGTTGAATTGGATATCATCATATGATGCACATCTTGTTGGATTAACCCAAACCAAGCACATCCTTTCTCAATCCATTTATTAAAATCGTAGGATTATGTATGAGCCACATTTTAGGCCATGAATTTAGTTTGGACATGGGTTTGTCTTGGCTTCAAAACAATGCTAGCCCAACATATATTGGTGGTATTGCATGTGCCAAGTACAAAAAATCTGTCTCTTTAAATTTTATACCTATAAAGAATAAAATATTATTTGGTAGGAGCTCATATTCTATGGGCGTAAATGAGTTTGTCATGCGATGACAATGGTATTTAGAACAAGAACATATTCTATAAGCATAGTAACCCACCATCTTTCCAACTCATTCTAGCATTGCTGGGACATAAAAACAATTCAAATATTTATAGAGTACATATAACCATAAATATTTGTATGTATTTATTGAACAAAACAATAACTTAACTTCATAATATACCAACCACACAAGTTAAAGCACCGACAACGCCATTAAATTCAGGCCTTATTTTATCTCCTATGGCCAACCTCTCATTTTCTTATGATAGAGACGTGCTTGCTAATCTCTATCATTGACGCAACAATTGTGTCCACAATGACTGCATTGGTGCACCCCCACCATTATCTCTAGTACCTTAATCAACCTGTGAAGTCTTAGTTTCTTTGGCATAAAGACCTCCTATGCTTAATCTGCTTGCAATTTGTGTAACTGGAGTGGTTATTATGGATTCAGGGTGGAATGGATTTATACTTGACATATGCCCTTTGCAATTCATTGGAATTTGGACTCTTTGGCTTCTTGTGGTCCTTCATTTGCATTGAGTTCTTTTAACTTCTAGTAACTTTGATTTGCAGTGACATTATTTATCATGCTTTTATTGCCTTAAATAATGGGTGCAATTATGATTTTATTATGTAGGGAAGAAAAAGAGATGATGCTTGAATAAAAGTGTCCGTTAACTTCCCCATAGAGTAATGTACAATGTTGATGTGTTAAATTTTAATTGTTTAAGGTAAAATAAGAAAGAAAATAGGATATGATTAGATATAGGAAACAAAGTAGGGCTAAATAAGAAATTAAAAATTAGTTCATATTAAGGTACTTTTATAAGTAGTATAGATTTATTGAATAGAAAGTCATGCATCATCTACATTTGTTGAAATCCAAGGAGGAGGAGGAAATCTCAGAAAGAAAGCATCTATTGGTTTGGATTCAACTGAATATAGTTGCACCTTATCTAGTTTTTGGCTTGTGCCTGTGTTTAATCTTAATTCCTATAATTTTCTGTTGCTGTGTCCCAACAACATCTCTTCTTGCTTTTATATGTATTTGATTTTCCTTTTATGACTGCTCTATTTCCATCTGTTATCACTTTATATGGACAGGTCAGAGTTCATATTTATCAATCCTAACTCTGAAGGACAGTGCGGTTGTGGTGAATCTTTCATGACTACAGCTAGTAGCGGATCTCCAAAGCAAGGTGGTGGTTAGTGCTACGTCAAACTTGTAATCGATCTTTAGGATTTTGTTGTATCCCATTTGAAGCCAGGAAACCAAGTACTAATTGTTTTCTGCCACAACTTTGCATGCAAGACAACAAAGTATGCAAGCTTAGGCCTATTGAATAAGCTTTCTTAGCTACCAGTTACAGGGTTGGCTTTCCCGGTCTCTACTAAGTTCACAATGTATTTTACCATAGCTTTTGCAGATATAATTATTGTCTATGATATATTCTTCAAATCTGTACCATAGAAGGAAATATTTTGTATGAGAATCTTCGTTGCTAGTAAGTGTTAACCGTGGACAGAGAGAAGAAATAATACATATTTGTATGTTCTTTAGTGTTGGTGTGTTCAAATGGGGAATGTTTGTCATATGGAACGTCTTCGTTTTGTTGGCCAGTAGAATGCAGAGAAAACCATTACTTTTGTGCGATTTCTGGATGTTGTTACTGATTTGTCTGGATAAAAAGGAGAGAGAGGAGGTGGGGGACAAGAAGAGTGCTCAGGTTAAGGGCAAAAGAACAGCGTTTCTTTTTGTGTACATGATCACTGGTGTGTTGGTTCACAATAAATTTGATGAAAGAATAGGAGAAAGAGTGGAGGAAGCCCCAATGCATACAATGGTCTAAGACTCTCCCCCCCCCCCCCTCTCTCTCTCTCTTGTTTATTTATTTATTTATTTTTTTGGGGTGGGGACTTTGTTTGACTGTGATTAGTGCATTCTTTATCCGTTTAAGTAGCCCTTAAAAAAGGGGGTTTGGACGAGAGATCTGCAATGCTTCCTAGGACGACACAAGTCATACAGGGCTTATAAGCAATCGAACTACGTGGACTGGGTTCAGTTCGTTTTTAAACGAGTTGAGTTAGAATAATTTTTTAATTTCATTTAGAAAAATAAATTCAACAAACTCGATTTGATTATCGGTCTTAAAAAATAACTCAATAATATATTTATCATGAATCGAATTTAGAACATAACTTTAATAAGCCTCGAGGCAACCCATTTAGAGACATGAAGCTCTAATGAATCACATAGCCCAATGGCCTCTCAACTAATTTTTTTGTGGTTTTAACTTTTACTTATCTCAACTCAAGCACTTTAAGAGACTGTTTGGATGGTTTGTTTTGGGAGGGTTTGGATTGACTTCTTCTGACCTTTCCAAACTCAAACTTCTTTTTACAAAAATGAGATTCAACATTCAATTCCGTTTATACTCATGTTTGGTATGTTCATAGATATATCACTATTATGATAATATATTTGTATATAAATAACTAATTTGGCCCTTCATAAATCTAATCCAAACCCATATTTGTATACATATATTTTCTTGTGTCATTATGGTTTTCATATTTGATTGTTTTTTCTTTGTAACTTATGAAAAAAAATATTAATTTTGATAAAATATAAATATTATTCATTATCATAATAAAGCAAAATAAAGCATTAACCATACTACACAATGTAACATTCTAACATTTGGTTATACGAGGACACATACAAAACTTTTCCATTCCCAAATAAAGAAAATTGAATGGAGATATTCCCGTTACACCATATTAAACGTCATTATATTGGTTACAAATATATCACATTGATAACATTAATCATCAATGATAACCAAATCCACAATAGACATATACAGAGACGTGACTGAAATGGAGCCAACACTGTAAATTGTTGATATGTGTTCACCTTCCCCATGTGGCCCGAATATTTCTGTGAAGATCTTGTAATTAGGCTAAGTCCGCACACAAACTTGAGATGCGAAGGTATCATCTTACAAAAAATGACATATTGAATTTAAGCACACATGTATGTAATGAGTCGTATAGTAATGTACATATGTAAAAACTTAACAAAAATTAACTTCTAAGAAAGACACTCCGGCTGGGTTGATTGGGAAAAGAACTCGTTGTTCATTGTTCCAACAGAACAACCCCGAAGCCTCCATATCTTTTATCTTGAAATGACGTCTCTTCCAAAAAATAACTATTTCCATCATTAAGGCCAGAATTAATCGTGGTGCTCGCCGACGTTCACTTATCATCTTCCACAGACAACTCCAACCTCCTCTGAGGAATTCACCCATGTTGGCAATGAGCCTCTCCAACTTAAGGTCCATAAGGCAATCTAACAGAACATCTTCCTCATCTTGTGTTAGCCTCAATCGTCGTATTACTTTTAACTATGTTCCGATAATAATACCTATTACAAAATCAATGTGCAAGGAATAAGTTAATAACGTAACACAAATTTGTACATTAGTTAAGTGTTACCAATCCATAAAAGTCGATACATAAATTACAAATATAGCATAATTTCATGATGACACTTTGAGCAAACTTAAGCACTGTACACGATCGTTCGGTCAAACAAATTTTCTCACAAATGAGCTCAAAATATTGCATATTATGAAACACAATATGAACACTACAATAACGAGCATAATTCTATTTTGTGGGACTGGTGCAATTTTTGTAGAGGGATTTCTTCCACACACTTCGTGTGGCATGAGAATGCGTTCACGTGTTCCATCACTCCATGGGTCATTCACAGTGTTTTGTTCGTGTCTTTTCATTGGATTGATATTTTGGTCCATCGCTATAGTGAAAACGTATTCTACTAAGGCCTCCTCTATAGCTTCGTATGACAAAAACGATACAACGCACCAGGGTATCTAGTGACAAGCCCGTGACATTCTTGCCAAGTATCAACAATTCTCACCCATCGCCCATTAAACACAACATACCATTTCTTCTTCAAATCCATTTTCATCCCTGTTATTACAGTCATGACTATTGTGAAATGTGAAAAACATAAGACCCATCAGGTACAGTTTCAAAAACAAACATGAAAATACCCCAAACACAATAATCATAAAGTAGTACATAATGATGACATGAAACATCTACAGATACTTCTACATTGTTTAAATACCACTTGCACACAAAACATATGGAAAACATCGAAGAGGAGAAGACTTAACATCACTGAGAAGAATCCATACCACGCGAGTAAGGATAAGTACTAATTGTCTATCACGGATGCATTACCCCATAGTACGCCAATAAGCCATGCTGTTCTCTCACTTTTTGGCAAGCTCATAAAGAGGTCTACGTTAATTGGGTCACTAGCAATCTTGTAAGCCGTCATGTGGCGGTGATCCATCGTTAGGCCATCGATTTTTGCCAATTTTGTGTTCAGTTGATGCCTAGTCTCAGCAACATCTTGCTCATCATTTTACTTATGTCGTTAGGCCATAGTCACCAAGTATGTCGGTCATTTTACTTATGTTGTGTGCAATTCTATCAGATGTTTTAGCAGTTTTCTTCTTACGTTGTTTACGACTTGTAGGTGTGTCACCCTGTCCAACAACACCGTGTTGAGGCGTGTTGTTGGACATCCCAGTGTCTTCCATGTGTTTACGTTATTGTCAGCTGCATCCTTAGTAGCATGCACTTGAACTCCCGCATCATGAAACCCAACCATGTCTTCCAGATCTTTAGCATACTCACCTGTTGCATGGTCTTTGTCAAAAATTATGCTCTAGTCATTGTAGTAAGACCAACTTTTCTTACGCATTCATTTTGCATTGCGGTCTTTTAGGAAAACAACATGTCGTTAGTGAATGAGTTAATGCGGAGAGTAGTGGGGTTGAGAAGTAAGTACGTTCACGTACTCTACCCAAATGTCGTCCCCTTCAACATCTATCTTTTGTTCTGACTCATTCCACCCGAACCCTGACGTGCTGAGCATGCTAAAAAGTGTGTTGTATGTTTTTTTCAGTTTTTAATCTTCGACTCAATGTGTGGAGTGACACGTAGGTAAGTTGTACCAAGTACATTAGATAAAGCATTTTCCAAGTGGTGCAAATATCGTGCCCCTGATTGCAAATGTCTTTAAGGGCATTTAAAAGCAAAGCTTTCTAGGATGCTGTCCACATGCATCTAGGTCCCTTATCAAACTGGGAACTTCCCCTAAAGTGGGAATTGCCGACACTTGCCATGACACCACTACAAATATCATTGCATATTGTACTGTAATTAAGTTAAATTTATCAAAAATATGTTTTAAACAACCATTAAATTGTTTTACATACACACAAAACATCCACTAATACCATAAATTACATGTAATAAAACTTAACCAAAAAAACATAAGGCGGAACAAATTGCACAATTGTGGAACAGTTCTATAGTGACTAACTTCAAGCTACCCTATTAGCTCTCCAGTCATTGTACATATCAACAGCTAGTTGATCACGCCACGCAATCCAACCATGTGAAGATTCTACGCTATGTCATTATCATTCACATTCTCATCTTCCAACGGATGGTCATCCAACTCTTTTTCTACTGGATCATATTTCATATCGTTACTAATAAGATTATGCAATAAACAACAAGCAACAATGATTTTGTTGTGCATTGGTACAGGGTAAAAACACACGTGTCCCAAGGATAATCCATCGCATTTTAAGTAGATCAAAACACCTTTCTATGACATTTCTCGCAGTTGCGTGCCTCAAATTGAAATACTCGTGCACGTTTCTAGGTGTTGCAGCACCGTCCGCAAACTCCTGCAAGTGGTATCGTTGGCCACAAAATGGAGCCAAAAATCTTCTCCATTTGTGTACCCAACATCCGCAAGATAATATGTACCTACAAGTGCACATAATTGAATAAATCTAAAATGTTCAACAAACTTAGCAAAAAACTAATTCTCTGAAAATTATTTTTGTCACCTTACCACATTCCACCTTTAATTTCCTTCTTTTGATGGCATCTCGCAATACTCTAGAATCAACAATATACTCCTCTCACTCGGGCAATACGTAGATAAATTTCATATCTTGCCCACAAATGCCTAACACATTAGTTGCAGTCCACCACTTCCTGTTTCTATATCTACCTTGGTGTAGAAGAGACACTTTAGCCCTAACATGTGTGCCATCTAGTGCTCCTAAACATCCCTATAACCACCAA